ACTTGTTTTCAGAATGTGGAAGGAAACTAGGGGCTGTGTCAGATGGAGACAGAGGCCAGTGGATGGAGAATCACAGGGGCTGTGAGGACTTTCCTTGTTGGGCTGTGAGCCAGCTGGGGCCACCGGAGCCAGGGAGGAGCCCTACTCTGGGCGGAGTGTCAGGAAGTTATGGCCAGTTTTGCCCACTCTCTGGAAGGGGAGGAGGATAAAGTGCAGGGTTTATCCAGACCCAAGTGGTGGGGTTAAATCAGGCGGAGGGCTTTTGCCCTCCAGCGGCAGTGGGTAGCTCCGGAGGGAGGAGCGAGGAGGGTTTAATTGGGAGGAGCAGGGACGCCATGCCCAGTAGGCGGAAGGCAAGGTCTTATGGCCGTGTGGGCAGGGAGGAAGGACCCAGGTGGGCCGCCGCCTGGCAGGAAAAAGGGATGTGGAGGGCGATGCGGGCGAGACAGGGCGGTATGCGGGATATGGGGTCCCGGGGCTAACCTGGGCCCGGTTCTGGCCCCCAGGAAGCCGCTGAGGAACGGCCTGGTGAAAGATAAGCGCTTCTGAATTCCTTGATCACCGTCCCACCCCTTAGGACCCCGCCTCGCCCGACCACGCCCCCCAGGGACCGACCACGCCCCTCCTCCGGGACTCTGGCTCCGTCCCTCCCCGCCCCACCTGGGCCCTGGCCACTCCCGGTCGCCTCCCCCTGGACTCCTGCCCCGCCCCCGGGGTCTACCCCCTACCGGCTTCAGGACCGCTGCCACGTCCCCCGGGACCCTGACCCCGCCCAGCCCCAGACCTCCGTCCAGGCCCCTCCAGGGACCTCGGCCCCGCCCCCAGCCTGCAAGTCGAGGGTGCCCGGCGGCTCCTGAGCACACGTCCGGCCGCCGCCAGCGAGGAAGATGCCACCGCCACGCCGCCGTCCTGGCCGCCGCGTCCTTTTCCTCCTCCTGGCCCTGCTGCTGCCCTCACCGCCCCCAACGCGCGCCCCAGCGCCCCCGGGCCCCGCCGCCGCTCTGCTCCAGGCTCTCGGGCTGCCCGACGTGCACCGGGGCGCCCCCACGCCCCGGCCCGTACCCCCCGTCATGTGGCGCCTCTTCCGCCACCGGGACCCCCAGGAGGCCAGGGTGGGCCCGCGGCGGACGCCCCAGGGGACCACCCTGAGACCGTGCCACGTGGAGGAGCTGGGGGTCGCCGGAAACATCGTGCGCCACATCCCGGACCGCGGTGAGTGGGGCCTGCGCTGGGGGCGTGTGTCCGGGAGGCTGGACCCCGCTGTGCGCCCAGCCACGAGCCTGCAGCGCCGCGTGGGGGAAGCCAGAGCGGCTCCGAATGTCCCCACCCGTCCCGTCCAGCCCGCGAGCAGCCTGGACCCCTGCACTCCATGGGCTCTTTCCCGTGGGCACCTGCGGGGACCGGTTGGAGTGGTCCCACGGCCAGGCCCCCTTGCACGGGGCAAGGCCCCTAGCTTGCGGCTGAAGCCCTGCCCCCACTCTCCCCTCGTTCCCCCCGCTGTTTCACACCATTTGATGCCTTTCCTGCAGATACCACCTCTCCAGCATCGCTTCCCCACCGGCCCCAGGCATGCGTTCATCTCTAGCCCTGCTTGGGTCCCGCTGGCAGGCCGCCCTGCACCGGGCCGGGCCTCCTGTTACTTGCAAGCGATGCCCTGCCCCCCACCCCCCTTCCTCACTGGCAGTTATGGCCAGTTTTGCCCACTCTCTGGAAGCAGCAGTAGCCAATGCCGTGACCAGCAAGAGGCAGTGAGATGCTGGGTCAGCACCAGCAGGCATTGCCAAAGGCCCCAAGGAGCAAGGGCAGAAA